GTTACTTTTTAAGACAGGTTTGAAACCAACTAAACTTCAAGAGGTTATAACCTTTAACCTCATGCATGCCTTAAATATAAGAACTTTGTGTGATTTGACTGTGTTTGCTATACCCGTGTTTTCTATACCTGTGGTTTCTCATGACATCATACATCATAACATAGCATCCATTCTTATTGCACTAACCATTTCAAAGACCAAGGGAATTTATCTTTGTTCTATTTTGCAGATCATGGCTTTCGTTCGTAGAAACACTATCCGAATCAGCTTTATGAAGATACCTTCCCAACTCAAAGAGCTAGCATCAAGGGTTTCTGAAACTTCTGCGTTCACTAAGAGACATGGTCGACTTCTCAACATGGTTACTTCAAACTTTAGTGAAAAGATGATGAGTGTACTCTTTCAGTTCTTTGATCCCAAGCACCACTGCTTCACCTTCCCAGACTATCAGTTGGTGCCTACCTTGGAAGAATTCTCTCAGCTGCTGGATATACCCATTCTTGAATAGTTTCCCTTCACAGGTCTAGAAGAGGTTCCTAAGCTAGAAGTCATTATCTCAACTTTACATATGAAATGGGCCGACGTGGTATCCAATTGGGAAACAAAAAGTGGAGCAAAGGGGTTTCTAGCCAAGTTTCTGATAGACAAGGCCCAACTGTTTTTGGATGATATGGATTTTCAGGCTTTTGAGGAGGTCTTGGCTCTTCTAATCTATGGGTTAGTCCTATTCCCTTATCCGGACTCATTCATAGATATGAATACTATCAAGATCTTCCTCTCTCACAACCCTGTGCCTACCTTTCTTGGAGATATTCTGCACACTCTCTATACCCGTACCATGAAGAGAAGAGGGGTCCTTATGTGTTGCATGCCATTGCTGTCAAGGTGGTTTATTTCTCACCTCCCTAAGTCCGTACTGAAGAATGAAGAAGGTTTGGGTTGGTCATAAAGGATAATGTCACTCGCTCACATGGATATTCTTTGGTGTTCTCGAGCTATGGAAAACACTACTATTATTGACCGCTGTGGGGAGTACCCTAATGTCCCACTACTTGGCATCAGAGGGGGTATAACCTACAATCCTTGTTTAGCTCTGTGAAAATTTGGGTACGCTCGAAGAGATGGTCCCCATGAGTTACTTATCGAGGGCATTGTATTCAACTATGAGGATGACGCTCACGAGTATTACCGGAAGTTCATACGAGCTTGGGGCATGGTAAACAGATCTGGAACTTAGGATTTGGGGCCAAAGGTTTCCATTCCTATGGAACCTTACCTCCAATGGGTACGAGCTCGCGCCCAGAAGCTTAGGATGCCCTATGTGGCCGTTTTACCAGTGGTTGTGGAACCCACTACTGAAGGGGGTATTCCTTACATGGTTCTCTATCCTTATATTCCCACTGATCTTGGGGAATTATAGAGGTCTTGAATTCAGTTGATGAAGGAGCGGGATACTTACAGGGATCAGTTCCATGACCAGGAGAGGAAGGTTTTAGAGCTCACAAAGCAACTCCATGAAGAAAGAGGACTCAATGACTATCTCGGCACAAAGAAGAAGCATCCATGGGAATTTTGATTTCTTTTCTAGTTTTAGATTTGTTTTTAATTGTAACGCCTAAAAGGCATTTGAACTTTGAATTCAACTAATAAATTTTTTGTTTATCTTGGTTTGCAAATTTAAATTTCCCAAAGTCTTTGAAATCATTGTATGCGTATCCCATTCATAACATTGCATGTACAAGTACCATTACAGGTTTCTCATTTTCTTCGCTGTTTATTTCAGCACGAAATGTCTTCCGAACAAACCATCAAGGTCCTTCAGGCACAGAACGCCCAATCCCAACAAATGTTCATAATTCTGGCAAAAGGGCAGGAGGATCTGAAAGCCCTTATCCTGAAAGAGAAAAAGAAAAAGAAGAAGGTTGCTGGTATTCTGAATATGGGTAGAAGGTTTGGAGAGCGGTTGAAGTGACAAGTTGATCTGACCTATTCATCCAAGGAAGGGGAGAATCAGGAAGAAGAGAAGGATCCCAGTTCTGCAGTTTCTGACAATGATACCGACTACAATGATGAGCAATATCCTCCTGCTGAGGATAGATACAAGCAGTTGGAAGATTATTTGAGTGCCATGGAACTTTAGAGGATACCTGGACTGGATTTTGAAGAATTGGGGTTGGTGTCAGGAGTGATCATCCCGGAGAAGTTCAAAGCTCCAGTTTTTGCTAAGTATGATGGGGTTTTCTGCCCAAAACTCCATCTCCGCTCTTATGTCAGAAAGATCCAGCCCCACACTGCTGATAGAAACCCGTGGGTTCATTTCTTTCAAGATAGTCTGTCAGGGACTCAGCTTGAATGGTTCTACCAGCTGGAGTGAGCCAATGTCCGAAATTGGGAAGATCTGGCTGCTGCTTTCTACAAGCAGTATCAATACAATACCGACCTTTCTCCTACTCGTACTCAACTCCAGAATATGTCCATGGGTGCAAGTGAAGGCTTTAAGGACTATGTGCATAAATGGAGAGACTTGGCTGGAAGAGTTCAACCCCCGCTGTCTAATAGGGAGTTGGTTGATATGTTTCTGGGGACGTTATCTGGTCCACTTTTCAATCATTTGATCGACAGCTCGTCAACTGGTTTCACCGAGCTAATTCTAACTGGAGAAAGAGTGGAAGTTGGGATTCAGAGCGACAAGATACAGAAGGATGCCTCTTCGAGTTTGGTAAAGAAGCCTTTTGCTGGTAAGAAGGAAGCCAATGCCATCTATGGCCCGAGGGGCCAAAACAGGGCTGAACATCGTCAGACAGTAAGTTCCGTAATGATACCTAGGCCTGTAGTTTCTCCACAATGCAACAATCAACAAAGAGTGGAAATACCACAACCGACGTTTACCCGAATCAACATGACATTGGCTGAAGTGCTACCTCATCTGCTGAGATCCAACTTGGCAACCTTGAAAGAGGCTCCCAAGAAAACAAATACTACATCTCCCCGATATAATCCGAATGCTTGGTGTGCCTATCATTCTGAGAGCCCTAGCCACGATACAAATGACTATTGGGCTCTGAGGAACAAAGTAAAAGACTTGATCAAAGCCAAGTAAATAGAGTTTGATGCTCTGGAGAAGCCAAATGTCATAACTTCTCCCATGCCTAAACACGGTCGTGAAATTAATGTTGTTGATACTGATTTGTTTGTTACCTCTGTTGATGAAGTTTCTACTCTTCTCATGACTGTGAAGAAGAATTTGTTGTTGGCCGGTTTATTTCCGGGTTGTGGTGAAGGTTGCCACATGTGTTCATTTCTACCTTCTGGTTGCCGTTTGCTGAAATTAGGTGTTCAACGCCTGATAGACAGCAAAGAAATTTTGTTTGAGAAAACTTTGGTTCCCGTTTTTCCATCTGAAGACATTGACATTATAACCATTTCCACCGATCCTTCCAAGGTATCCTCGAGAAGACCTGTTAGGATTACATATGCTCCAAGAATTGCTCCGCTGATAATCATTGTTCCTGGTCCTGTCCCGTATGTATCAAACAAAGCTAACCCCTAGAATTATGGTGCCGATGTGTACTATCATGGCATCAAACAAGATTTGAAAGATGAAGAGGATGATCCTGATATTGGTAACATTGTCGGAACCAACAAAGTTACCCGAAGTGGAAGGGTCTTCTCCCCCGAGATTTCCCCTAAGACTGTCAACAAACCTATTATCATTCCATCTTCTGTTCCTGCTAGTACATCAAGTACTATTCCTGTTCTTACTCCAGTTATTACCCCTGTCGGTGGATCATCTAATACCCGCGGCAAAGAAATTATAGGTGAGCCTGCCCGGATGGAGGCGCCTAGAAAAATTGTTGTGGAAGCCTCTAAGCAAGAGATATAGGAAATATTGAAGATAATTAAGAAGAGCGACTACAATATGGTCGAGAAGCTAGGGAAGACCCTATCAAAGATATCCATGTTGTCTTTGTTGTTGTGTTCTGAAGCCCATGTGAAGGCTTTGATTGCATTCCTCAAGACTGCGCATGTGCCGCAGGAAACTTCAGCTGACCAATTCAAATATTGTGTGGCCAGCCTGACTGCAGATAATGCACTACAAGAAAATTAGTGTTTAACGACACAAAAATTGCGACAGTTATGTGATAACTGTCGTAATTGACATATAGAGACAGTGTTTACGACAGTTGACACCAACCATCCCTAATATTTATTTTGCGATGGTATAATTAACCATCATAATATTATTATTACGACGGTAAAACAACCGTCGGCCCCCATTTAACACTTTTAACATTGATTTTTCACCAACAACTAGTCACGACGGTAAAATTAACCGTCCTAAAAGGCATATTACGACGGTAAAGCACCCGTCGCACCCTTAAACCTTTCACGACGGTAAAATTATCCATCCTAAAATTCATTTCACGACGGTAAAACAACCGTCGCACCCAAAACCTTTAAAAATTCTCATGGGCACGACGGTAAAACACCCGTCGCCGTAAAAAAGTTAAAAAGCTCTTAAAATACATAAAACATCAATTCACTTTCTACTCCGTAAACATTATAAATATCACTAAATAAAGTTTATTACCACCGTGAGCCACCCTAACCACTCATATTTACTAAGATCTAGGAATATCCCATCCAAGTGAGGTAACTCACATGGACTTTTATGGAGTTTTTTGATAAGTAGATTTTGGTTTTTCTTTTTATATTTTTAAAAGACCAGTGTTTCATTTTTCCCATTTTAAAAAACTTTTTTACCTTGCATTTTATTTGCTAGTATATTCTCTAGCAATCCAAGTTCCAAATCATAAATTGCTATTTTTCACTTATCCCTACCGCAAACAAGGAACCCGAAACCCAAACTCTCATTCCGCCACAGACCACTCTCAACTATCTTCAGTTCCCCCAAAACTTTCAAACCTCTTTCGCTTCCTCATCTCACAACCACCACCAATTTCTCAGTTTCGTCAATTTTCGGTTTTCATACCTTCGAAATGGAGAATCTTAACTTAGCCCTTGTTTCTTCCCCTAAACCTCTGCTTCTGGGACATTCCTCCTCAAAAAACGTCTTCACAAGAAGAAAGCCTTTCGCTTTTGGGACTTTTCGCGTTTCTGCTAACTCTTCATCCTCTCATGTCACCAGGGCTGCTTCTAAATCTCACCAAAATCTAAAATCTGGTAATCTTATGAATATGATTTTTGCTTACCAGAAATAGGGTTATTAGGTTATGATGTACTTGAATGAAATGTATGTAATTATATTGAAATTGAAGTTAAATCGACATAGTTATAATGAAAATTTCCATGTAATTTGAATGTATTTCAATGTTTTGCACTCATGTCTGAAGAGGCATTCATAAGTAATACATGCTCGGAATTCAGTGCAGGGGAAGGTCACTGTGCATACTTTTGCTAGCATTTCTTCTTCAAATAGTCAGGAAACAACATCAGTTGGAGTTAGCACCCAGTTATCGCCGCCTCCACCTTCGAATGTGTAATCATACTATTCTTTCTTTCACATTTTGAATTTCCTGTAGATGTTTTATACCATGTCATATGATTGCCATTTGTCAAACTACTTGTTTGGAAGGGAGATGATTATATATATATATATATATATATATATATATATATATATATATATATATATATATATATATATATATATATATATATATATATATATATATATATATATATATATATATATATATATATATATATATATTTGATGTTGTTTATCAATTTCGCTTATATATTCTAATTTGGATTTATTTGTTCACAATGTTTGTAGAGGGTCGCCACTCTTTTGGATTGGTGTTGGTGTTGGGTTTTCTGCACTATTTTTAGTGGTGAGAACCATAGTCAAAACTCAGTTTTATATATACTGATGTTTATTTTTCTTCATTTTTATTTATGTTCAATATATTAAGGTCCATTTCTTTTTGGCAGGTAGCTTCAAGATTAAAGGTGAGTTCCACTTTACTGCGTGGCTTGGGTTTAAATTGGTCTGTCATTTGAGTTCTATGGTAAGATATTGGGAGCATATCAAGTCAGTAGAATGATTTATTGGCCGAGGGAAAGGAACAAGTCTTTTCACCTTCAAATTTTACACGAAGTTGCAACAAATGTTTTTTGTCAAACCTTATCTTTTGTAGTTTCTTTGTAGAACTGGCAACAACTAACCTTGTAACTCTTTGGTACCCTTTTCATACAATTTCAACATTTGTGTTTTAATCTTTTTTCAGAAATATGCAATGCAACAAGCTTTAAACACCATGATGGGCCAGATGAATACACAAAATAATAATCCATTTGACAGTGGTGCCTTTTCCCCTGGATCTCCCTTCCTCTTTCCCATGCCTTCAGCTTCAGGGCCCGCTACACCTGCTGGCTTTGCTGGTAATCAATCTCAAGCAACTTCTGCAAGAACTGCCTCTCAATCTACTGTCACAGTAGACATACCTTCAACCAAAGTAGAAGCAGAAGCCTCGGCCCCAGACATTAATGTTAAAGAAGAAGTGGAAGTAAAGAATGAACCAAAAAAATCCGGTAACATACAATCTCTGTTCATGACTCCCATTTTTCTTCTTGTTGGATGACATGTACTACATTTGCAATTTATAAGTAGTGTGATTCCGTGTCCACTATCAGATGTATATGTGGCTCTAAGAATTTAAGTAAAAGCTGTACCCAAATCACTGTCGTCGATTGGTTCATCCTACCATAGGATGCATTACTAGTCTTTCCATGTATACTATCTTGCAGCTTTCTTTTTGTTATAAACTTATAATAGCTTGAGTGAGCCTATGCCACATCATTATTTTTAAGCTTTGCTTGCATGCAAGTATCCTCTGACAAACTTGATAGTGCTCCCTAAATAGACATCAGCTGTTTTAGTTTTCCATTGAATGCGTCACTAACTAATGTCTAATTGTCAGGTGAATGTCTTTGAATTTATGTCTGTATCATTTGGGATTATTCATTAGTGTGTGCATGCCTATTATTTTCTCAACCTTGCTTGCATGCTATCATGTTAGTTAATGGCTCTACAGTTTCTTAAGTCACTTGTAATGGAAACATACTGCTTTGAATTATAACAAATTGTGAAGTGTGTCCATATAAATTTGCTGGAATTAAAATTTTCCTGATAAATATTTATTTATTTCAGCTTTTGTAGATGTGTCTCCAGAAGAAACTGTGCAGAAGAATGCTTTTGAAAGATTTAAAGATGTTGATGAATCAAGTTCATTCAAGGAAGCCCGTGCTCTAGCTGAAGTGAGTTTACAATTCTAGTTTTTTCTAAATATGTTTAGTGATTTTAACATGTAATAACAATGGATATTATTGAAGGCTTCTCAAAATGGAGCTCCTTTTAACCAAGGTTTTGGCAATTCACCCGGTTCTCTATCTGCACGTAAGTAAGGAGTCAGTTGAAATTGAAAATATTTACATATCTGCTTTATTGCTGAAACCCTGTGTAGTGTAATACATCTATTCAAGTGTTTTCAAGGAAATATAATGGCACAATGTAGACCGGGCCTGTTAAATAGATGACTGTTCATGTTATTATAGTCGTGCATATTGATTTAATATATCTATCATCATCGATTTTACGTAGGATTATGTAAACTTACCATTGTCCTTGTACTTTTGATGATTTGATCTTCTATATAAAAGCCTTTCTTGTCAATATCATTTACTTTTGACCCTGTGGTAGGATCTAAGTTGGGAGAATTCTCTCCTATTCTATCATATTTCTTAATAAAAAAAGTGTTCTTTCTTTGGAACTCAATTCTTGGGTTTCTAACACATTGCATACTGATTTCCAGTCCCTGGGTTAAAACAGCGTCATAAATCATAAAGGAAATGCAAGAAGAAATTAATGCACTTAAAGAAAAGAATTCAAAAATTGATGAATTAACACAGGCAATCATATTCTTAACGCAAAGGGACAAGGCGAGGACAAAGGAAATTGAACTCTTAATGCAAATGCAGAATTTTAGTGGAAGACAGGTATATTATTTTGACGCATTTAAAGTTAAATTTTATGAGTATTATTTTAAAGATTATTATTTTAATACCTTTTTTTAGGGATTGGAATCACCCGCTGATGGTAGACGTTCATCTGAGTCTAGCTACCGTATTGGAGATAATGGAACTTCAGGGGGGACAAATTAGACTTTGCTATGATCGAGATAATTAGATTGTGAACTTTCTCATGTATTTTTGGCATAATGATACTTATTATTATAAGATTAGGAATTGATATATTTTGGGTTTTTTGTACTACTTGATATGATTATGGAACTCGCATTTTACATGATTATGGAACACACATTTTTTTGGATATTATAATGCTTATTTGATGTTATATATTTTTTATTGAAATTATTTTTACTATATTACAAAGTGATAGAAAATAAAACAAAAAATAATACTATAAATAAATATATTAAAGAAGAAATAATTTAAAGAAAAAAATAACACAAAAAAAACTATATTTAAAATTTTTTACATAGATAATAATTTAAATAAAAAATATATATAATAGAAAAATAAAAAAAAATCAAGACAAACAAAAGTCATGGCGACAGTACCGAACCGTCGTAATCAACAATTAAAAATAATCAACAAAAGTCATGACGGTATCGAACCGTCGCCATAAACAATTTAATCAATTTCAAAAGATATTCACGACAGTATCGAACCGTCGCCATCAATAATTAAAAGAAACTCAAAAGATAGTCACAACAGTATCAAACAGTCACCAATACTTGATTATGTCAGCTCCAAACCCGTCGTAAACTTGAACGACAGTTTTTGTAACCGTCGCGAAATAGGTTAGGGACACACACTTCTGCGACGGTAAAGAAATCGTCGTGGAAAGCAAATTGCGACGGTTTTAACCGTCATAATCTACAAAAATACCTGTCGCAATCTGCCAATTTTCTTGTAGCGATGGGCTGGGCTTTTCAGATGCGGATTTGACACCAAAGGGAAGGAAGCATAATGATGCTCTTCATGTCTCGATTGAATGCAGGGGCACCACTATGGCTCATGTGCTGGTAGATATTGGGTCTTCGCTGAATGTTCTGCTGAAGAAGGCGTTGGACCGGTTGGATTACGAGGGTTTGACGTTAAGGCCTAGTAACATTGTGGTAAGGGCTTTTGACGGATCGAAGATAATGGTGCACAAGGAGGTGGACATCCCTGTCAAAGTAGGTTCTCAGACTTTTGGGTCCACCTTCTATGTGATGGATATCAGGCCATCGTATTCTTGTTTGTTGGGTCGTCCTTGGATCCATGAGACTGGGGCAGTTACTTCCAAACTCCACCAAATGCTGAAGTATCCGCTAAAAGGGAAGATTGTCACAGTGTGGGGTGAAGAGGAGTATATGGTGAGCCATCTCAATTCCTTCCGCTACGTAGAGATGGATGGGGAATTCAAAGAAAATCCTTGTCAGAACTTCGAAGAGGTCCCTCAGATCCTAGCATCGACTGAAACTACTACCAGCAACAAACCTCCTCTGAAGATGGCTTCTCACAAGGACGCCAGGGCCGTGGTTGAAGAAGGTGGGTGTTCCAATTGGGGTCAGCTCTCTGATTTTACTCACAAAACTGACAAATTTGGTTTGGGATTTACTACAGGGGCTCAAAGGGTTGTGCGACGCGCTCGGGCTGGAAGGCCTCCCCTACACATCAGTAATCGGGGAATTAATGCCATTGAAGACAACGAGGAGGACTCAGACATCGACATCTGGATCTACCCAACTACCAATAGTGGACCGAGTAACTGGACGACTAGGGACTTTATACCCATTTCTTTTATTCTGCAGTAATTATCTTACTTGTTTTGAGATTTGTAATGAACAATTTAAAACTCTACGGCTTGGTGCCTTTCCCGAGGCACATTGGCTTTACTTGTGAGGGCTATTATTTGTCATTTCATATATCATTAATAAAGCATTGGACGTTTTCTTGCATACAAATTTTACGCTCTCTATTTTTTTTCCTTCTGTTTTTCACTATTATCAAAACAGGTATTCTCTTACACACACTCACGTATCATAATGCAGATCCATATCCACTCAGGATCCCATTGATAACAACTCTGCTATTGCCAGTTATGACTTCAAAAATCCAATCAACCAAGCCGAGGACGAAAGTGAGGATGATTGTGAGGTGCCTGGAGAACTTGCTAGACTATTACAACAGGAAGAAAGGGCTATACAGCCTCATGAAGAGCCGGTTGAGACAGTAAACTTGGGTACTAAGGAAGACTGAAAAGAGGTTAAAATAGGTGCAAATCTGGAGCTTAGCGTCAAACAGAGGTTGATACAGATGTTGCATGACTATGTTGAGATCTTCGCTTGGTCCTATGAAGACATACACGGTCTGGACACTGATATTATGGTACATCTCCTGCCGACTAAAGAAGATTGTCTGCCGGTTAAACAGAAGGTCCGTCTTATGCACCCTGAAATGTCAGAGAAGATCAAGGCGGTCATGAAACAGTTCGACGCAGGATTCTTAGCTGTCACTTCGTATCCATAGTGGGTTACTAATGTCGTCCTGGTACCTAAGAAGGACGGTAAGGTACGGATGTGTGTGGATTACAAAGATCTGAACAGGTAAAGCCCCAAGGATGACTTCCCACTTCCTCACATTGACGTTCTGGTCGACAACACTGCATAGCACAAAATCTTCTCCTTCATGGAAGATTTCTCTGGCTACAACCAGATGAAGATGGCTCCTGAAGACATGGAGAAAACAAACTTCGTTACACAGTGGGGCACCTTCTGCTACAAGGTGATGCCTTTTGGGTTGAAGAATGTTGGGGAAACTTATCAGCGCGCCATGGTTGCTTTGTTCCATGATATGATTCACCATGAGATCAAAGTCTATGTTGATGATATGATAGCCAGGTCTGAGACTGAGGAAGAGCACCTTGATCATCTCCAAAAGTTGTTCGACAGGTTGATGACATACAAGTTGAGGTTGAATCCAAACAAGTGTACCTTCGGGGTAAGATCTGGTAAGCTTCTGGGTTTTATCGTCAGTGACAAGGGTATTCAGGTAGACCCTGCGAAGGTAAAGGCCATACAAGAAATTCCAGCTCCCCGTACATAGAAGGAAGTTAGGGGTTTCTTGGGACGCTTGAATTATATCGCCAGGTTCATTTCACATCTGACTGCTACTTGTGAGCCAATCTTTAAGCTTCTGAAGAAAGATCAAGTGGTAAAGTGGAATGATGAATGCCAGACCAATTTCAAAAGAATCAAGGAATACCTTAAAGAACCACCAATTCTGATGCCTCCAGTTGAAGGAAGACCTTTGATATTATACTTGACAGTGCTAGACAATTCAATGGGGTGTGTGCTGGGGAAGCATGACGAGTCTGGTCGAAAAGAGCATGCAATATACTACCTTAGCAAAAAGTTTACCGACTGTGAGACACGATACTCATTGCTTGAGAAAACTTGCTGCGCTTTGGCATGGGCTGCTCGTCGACTGAGACAGTATATGCTGACTCACACTACCTTATTGATATCGAAGATGGATCCGATCAAGTACATTTTCGAGAAGCCCACTCTCTCCGGAAGGATAACAAGGTGGCAAATGATCTTAACTGAGTACGACATACAATATACGACCCAAAAAGTAATAAAGGGAGTGTATTGGCTGATCATTTGGCTCATCAGGCCGTGGACGACTACCAGTCCATGAATTTTAAGTTCCCGAATGAGAATATCATGTTGGTAACTGACTATGAAGAACCTGGACCGGATGAAGGACCTGAGGAGGGATCCCGATGGTCTATTTATTTTGATGGAGCCTCAAACGCACTGGGTAATGGCATTGGCGCTGTAATCATATCCCCTGAGGGCTGTCATACTCCGTTCATTGCCCGATTGTGTTTCAACTGCACCAACAACATGGCAAAGTATGAAGCGTGCATCATGGGTCTTAGGGATGCTATCGACCTAAGGATCAAGTTCTTGAGTGTATTCGGGGATGCCGCTCTAGTAATAAGTCAGATCAAAGGCGAGTGGGGTACGAAGCACCCGAACCTTATTCCTTACAAAGAATATGTACTGACATTTCTCCCACACTTTGAGGAGGTAACCTTTGAACATTTCCCACGAGAGGAGAACCAGTTAGTGGACACGCTGGCTACTATGTCCTCTATGTTTAAGGTTAGGTAGGACAATGAAGCTCCCTAAATCACCATTGAGAGGTTGGATGAACCAGCACACTGCTGTGGGATTGATACCGAAGAAGTGGCAGACAAACCCTGGTTTCACGAAGTCAAAAGGTATCTCGAAGCTCAAGATTATCCCGAAGGGGCATCTGTCAATGATAAGAAGTTTCTGAGAAGGCTCGCTGCAAAGTTCTTCCTCAGTAATGGAATCCTCTATAAA